ACCCAAACGCACCTGTAAGAACTGTGAGTGAGTGAGTCGCAAGTCACCAACAATGTCAGGCTCCAACATGGGAGAGTTGCTTCTAAAGTAAATCTCAAGATGGCTTGCAGGGCCTTCTGCATACTAAGAAGTTCCTAAAGTCAGCCTGCCCTTCCTTTATTGCTGCAGCCAGCCAGTCATGGTATCCAAATGCTCACTGGGTGCTGGGCATTCATTAGTGTCTTGGTGGCCGGTGACAAACCCATTAAAAAACAAAAATATGGCAGCAGATCTTTGGGGAGCTTGGGGAAATGCAGGCCAAATAACCTAGCGCTTGGGTCCTAGTCACTAGACACTTGAGTTGGTCACTGATTCGGGGAAATTCTGTTGCAAGGTGATAAAACCTTTCTAAACCACTTGGGGCCAAGTTCATGATCCCAGGGTCAAGGTATCGAGTCCCATGTCAGGGTCTGTGCTGAGTGTGGAGCCAGCTTAAGATTTTCTCTCTGCCCCTCTTCCTCTCCCCCACACTTGTATTCTTTCTCTCTCTCTCAAATAAAAAAATTCTCTTTCTGCCCCTCTGCCTCTCCTCCACACTTGTGCTCTCTCTCTCTCCCTCTCTCTCTAAAATAATTTTTTTAAAAAGTTCTTTTCCAATAGATTTTGAGTGTATTTATTTTTCTTTAATGGTTTCAGGTCATCAAATACTCCACCTTTCCTGGGCTCAGCACTAAATATTACTGGGGGACAAAACATACAAGAATCCCTCCCTTCACAGAACTCTGGTAGGAGGGACACCCAAAACCCCAAATAAACAAGTGGTCTATATACAGTAAGCTAGTTGTTTCCTTTTGTTTTTCTATGTTCATCAGTGCTCTGCAAACAGCTTGGAGCCAAATACATCCTTCATTACATAATTCACTTATAAGTCATGCTGTTTTCTTTTTCTTCAACTATGTAGTCAAAAGAAGATTTGCTCTAGACATGTGTCAGCCAATCAGCAATAGGCAAAGTCCTGGCTACCTGTTGCTTCCATGTTTTTCATTCCAGCACTTAGGAGAATTAAAGGTGGAAGGATTTGAAGCCCCAGAGGTGAAATGTCCAAAGATCAATCCATTGACAAACAAGACCCAGGCATTCAGTCCACAGGTTGAGATGGTACACATTTTCCATCACCTGACCGTAAAACTGTCTGTTCTCTGCTCCAGGCAGAGCTGGTGGCTCATGGGTAGATATGCATATGTCTCATGGTAAAGATATTGTTAAGTGTACAGCTCTTGACGTGTGATAAAGCACCTTCACATTTGTTATCTCTCTATACTCGACATAGAGTTGTAGATTTAGCAATCGAAGTTACGGGACATCCAGTTAAATTGGAATGCAGTATTTGGGACACAATTACATTAAGCAAAAAATCGTTTATCTGAAATTCAAATTTAGCTGGGTGTTAAATTTAGTTTAGTGCATTTGGGCTGCTAGAACAAATTCTCATAGACTAGATGGCTTAAACACACATTTATTTCTCCTAGTTCTATAGATTGAGAAGTCCAAGATCAAGGCACCGGCAGATCTGGTGTCTGGTGGGAACCCTCTTTCTGGTTCACAGACAGCGGCTGTCTTTTCTCTGTGTCCTCCCTCACATGGAGGAAGGGGTGAGAGGACTCTCTGCAGTCATCAGGACTAAAGACCTCCTAAAGGCCCCACCTCCTACGGCCATCACATTGGGTGTTGGGATTTAGCACATGAACCTTGCTGGGATGCAAGCAGTCTATAGCATCGGACATTCTGTATTTTATCTGCAATCCTAACTAGAATCCTCAGAGAGAGGTGATATCAGTGCCTCCGTCTGATCACGGATACTCAAAAAGTAAATTGCCTAAGGTCCGCAGACCAAGGAGATGACAGAACTGAACCCTTCCCTTTTGATTCTCCTTGCTACAGCCCTGGGTGGCATCTTCAAGGTATCAAGGATGTAGTGGGGTGGAGTGTGAGGTTCTCAGGGCTAGGAAGGAGGGACTGTGTCAATGTGAAGCCATGGAGAGAGGGGCTGCCATGAGTAGCAGACCCCAGTTTTCATATTAGCGGGCAGAGGAGGGAGGGCTTCCACTCTTAGTTGCAACATGTTTTCGGTTTTCGTTTACTGTACCGGGGCTCTAGGACCCGAGCCAACAAGACTGGAAAGGCAGGAAGCCATCTGGAGCTGTATGCTGAGTCATAGGGGCCCGGAGAAAAACAAGAACATCACGACAGAGCAGGGGGTGGGGAGCAATCTCCCTGGAGATGGAAATTGAGGTGGGCACCGGAAATAGAAACTGCTCCTTCTGCAGCAGCTGGTAAGAGGTCCTGGATCACCATGTATTGGCAATTCAGTTCCTATTAAGTGCCGACTGAATGGAAAATGTCAATAAAATCAGGTGGTCAAAGGGAAGTTTCTGGGTTTGTCTAGTTTTGTTTGTTTGTTTTTCAAATCCTGGCCTTCCCTCTCCTCTGACTACCCGTCAGCCCTTGGGCAATTTACTTAAACTTTCTGACCCTGTTTCCTCCTCAGTAATAATAATCCTTATCTCATTGAGGTAGTTGAGGGTTTCAATGAAATCACATTTTCAGATACACACACTAGGCGGTCAACAGATGGTAGGTGTTATTATCAGAGAGACATAAAAATATCTTCATGTCAGGTTGGTGTGGGGATGAAATCAGATAAGGTATCTCCACTCTTAAGAGAGCTCTGAACCTACGTCTGAGTGACGTTTTAGCAAGCGGTGGAGACTGCTTTCTCCTCCAACCCCTAGATCGTGAGGTGAGTGGTTCTGATTTCCCTGGGTGCTGGTTACTGAGGCTAAACACACACACACAATGAATGCCTGCATGACGTCCGTTCATTCCATTCCACAAATATTTCCTTTATCGTGCATGTTACCGGCCCAGCCTGTGCAGAGGTACTGAAGAACAAAACGAAGATAAATACTCCCATTTTTCTGTTGTTTGTAGCCATTGCTCTGTACCAGGCACTAAACTAAAGGCTTTCTATGTACTGAATTCCCAGAACATCTCTTTCGGGTTAGTACTCTTCCAGTCTCGGTTTTATGGACGGGGAAACCGAGGTTCTGAAAGATTAAATGCACAGAGCAGGTAGGTACTATTGCATGGGGGGAAGGTGGGGTAGAGTCCAGGCTCCATCCCAGGTCTGATTCTAACAAAGATTCTGACACTACTGTGGACAAGGTCCCAGAGGAAGAAAAGCTCTCATTTGGAGACTGAAACTTATTTAGGCACAAAGATGTATAAACCACACAAGGCAGTGAGACGACTAAATGCTAAAGGAGAGGTTGGTCATCAGAGTTACAGCAGTGCTGGGCTGGAAGGGGATCCCATAGAGGCTTCCTCGATGGCAGGAGTGGGGCGAGGAATAGCACTAGACCTTGGGACAGGAGATGGAGCAAGTCGCTGAGAAGGCAGGTGAGCAGAGGCACAGACGACATGACCAGGTATGGGCAAGGTTCAGCAAGAGGCCAGCTGGCCAATCCCGGGTGTGTTTTGGAGAGCGAAAGAAGCAATATCCAGCTGGCAAAATCTGGCCCAGTTAGGCTGTCACTTATTTTCCAGAATGATAAATTCCTTGGTCGAGCTATGTGATTTTTAGCCTTGGCACATCACCACCTTAGAGGATCCCTACCCATCACACGTTGGGCCTGGTCAGCAGTGCTCCAAGAGGTACCTACCGATTGTCAGAGAGAAAGGCTTCTGCCGATTAAGTGGGCATGACCTGTCTTGCCCAATGGCCTCAACCTTAAGTCTCCCGGATAAGGAGATAATGATATTCTTTTTGCTTCAGAGGATTCTCCTAAGGAGGCCGCACACTAGGGGTCATTAAAGCAAATTCAGAGACAGTACAACTTTTCTTCAAGTCCATCTGGCCGTACATATCCAGAGGATTAAAACCATGCATGCTTTGATCCCATGGTTTTTCACCAGCAGGAATTAATCCTAGGGAAACGATCAGGAAGGGGTGCAAAGCCTCCTTATGTGTGTACAAGAACGGCTGCTGTAATATTACATACAAATGCACCAACGAGAGATGCCCCGGCTGATCAATAACAGGGGCTTGGTTAAAAGCTATACATCCATACAACGACACCACCATTAAAGTCGTTGCTGTCACATTGTAGCAAGTGAAAAAAATCAAATGGCGAAACATTGATCTAGTATGATGTAGCTTGGAAGTATATTAACCTAATCCATTCGCTTATAATCTTTAATGTACTGTGTACGGGGCAATATTCTGGGCACCGGGGACACAGAAGGGAACAAATCCAGCGGCTTCCTTGGGGGAAGCCAAGGAACAAACGAGACGATTTCCAGGAGTGTGCGGCACCATGAAGAGGATATAAGATGGGCTGATTTGGAGTGAGTGACGAGGAGGGGCACATTCCTATCGTGACTTGTATGTTGAAAAACATCCATTCGTGAGTATCGAGGGAAGAGCATTTCAGACAGAGGGACAAAAGCGCCGAGGCCTGATGCAACTGCAATTTAAGGGGGGAGAAAGGAAAGAGACATAGGGCATGAGTGCAAGGGAAGAGGTGGGAGAGAGGCTGGCGCAGGCCAGAAAATGCAGGGATAAAAGCCAAGGTGAGGTGTTTATAAGGAGTTTGGACCTTACCCCACCTTCGGTGGGAGGCTTCTAGATTTTAAGTCAGGCAATGATTACGCTTACATTTATTTTATATTTATGAACCAGAATGAAATACACCAGGGGGTTAATAGAGATCCCCAATGGGCAGTGGGGGGACAAACAATTCTCGCTTATTTCTGTGTGCTGTTCTGTAATTCCCAAACTCTCATAATTAGAAAAAACACAATGATTTCTATTTTTAAATAACTCGCCAGAGAGCAATGAGAACCGATGGTGACCACTAACGCGGAGTTTCGGCGTGAAAAGTCCTTTGCCTCCACGGTCTCGTTGGATTTTCCCAATAACCCTGCGAGTTGAATCCGATCATTTTAATTAGCTCCATTTTGTAGGTGAGGGAGCTGAGGCTGGGAGGGGTGAAGAGGCTCTGGCCGAAGACGGTATAACTGAGGCCAGAATAGAAGTTCGGTGGGCCTTGCCCAGGCTTCCTGATTTTGCAGAGAGCCGGGCCTGTGGGCTGGTCTGGTTTAGATTCAGCTGGAAATCCAGAAGCCCCAGGGAGAAGTCCATAGGATGACTTCCCTGCTTGAGGGAGAGCAGGGATGGACTCAGCCCCCAAGAGCACGTGTGCAAGACAAGACGCCTTCCCTACTGACAGGTGCTCCGTAAGCATTTGTTGAATGAACGAAATAACTGGCTTTCGGGAAAACACCGCTCTTGGGCGGTGGTTCAGCTGACTTTACAACTCAGTAGCTGTGTGATCTGAGGTTAATTATGCTCCCTGGCAAGCCCGAGCCCTCCTCTGTAAAATGGAGATCAGGTTTATGGTCCCTCACCCCCGTGAAGAATAAGAGTGAGGGGCATGCTTGGAGCCAGGCTGCCTGGGCTCGAAGCTGCTTCTACCTTTTTCTAGCTGTGACCTTGTAGAACTACCCGGTCTCTTACGACCTCAGTTTTCTCATCGATCAAGTGGGGGTGATGCTACTGACTCCCAAGGATGTGGTGAGGATGAAACGAACGGATAAAGTGCCCTGAAGAGGTCTTGGCACCCGGAGGTGCTCCTCCAATGTCGGCTGTTAGTATGAGCATCGCAGGCCTGGTGAAAGCACCCGAGCAGCTTTCAGAAGCATATGGAGAGCTTAGCACCGGGTCCCAATCCACAGCGGCTTCTGGCTCCTGCCCTTCTCCCACGAGCCCTGCCATTATTGCCACATCTGTAGTTTTTCACAGGAAACACGCATAAATTCGCTGCACATCTTCTTGTTCAGAAAGGAGACGCCCTTCCCCACCAGGAGGGGCCTCTGTCACATGGAACAATAGATCTCTTCCCTTTGACCTCTGGCTTCTGTCTGTCCAAGGTCATGTGAGGAATCTCCAATGCCCAATGCCTTTCCCAATGTCTCTGTTTCTGATTCAGTCAGGAGCCACCTGTTACGTGTCGGGCTTGACGTTGGCTTTGGTGAGTGGTCCTGGAGTTGCCGCACCTCTGACCTCCACCGCGGTTCTCAAACTTCAGTCGTGGGGGGACCAAGGGTAATTGTGCCGCAGCCGCAGGCTGCTGCGGTCTAGCCTTTCCCTCATTATTTTTCGTTAACGTGTCTCACATTCCAAACTTAAATACGCTTGTTCCAAAGGGAAATGTATTCATTACCATAAATGGAAAGCCAATACCACCTGCCACTAAAAGGAGCTATCCATAAAAAGAAATACCGTGGAAATAAAGCAATATTATTGAATTCTGGGGGGGGGGGGTCAGGGTGGCCCATTGAGGACTCTGGGCTCAAGGCCTGTTTGATTTCCATTTAAAAGGGAGAAGCGTTAAAGTTTCAGAAGGGTGTTAAAGACCTGTTAGTGCCGAAGTGAGATTGCCTTCGAGGTGTGATAAAAAGGATGGAAAGAGAATTCAGAGAGAAAAATTCTCTAACCTCGGGATTTCATGTTTTTCTTTCCTTGTTTGTTCACCTTCCAGAACTTTCTCTTGTCTGCCAGGAACAAGGGGCCCCCTTTGACGTGATTCAGTTCTTTATTGAGAAAAGCTAAGGAGAGGGCCGCCTACCCTCTGCATCTCACTTACTACATTTTAGGAACTTTCTTTCCCCTCTTTGAATGGAGGGAGCTGGACTGGAGAAACGCCCTTCTCAGAGGATGTCCAGGCCCTAAGAGCCTGTGCGGCCTTATCTGAAGGTGCACGCAGCTGCGCATCGATGTTTTCTCACCTGCCAATGGGGCGGCATCCACCCAGCCTCGCAGCGTGGTTTGGGACCCTAGATCTCCACTAGGAGCGGAGCTGGGGGATTCATCACATGCCCACAAATAAATTCACGTTTCCTGGGGGTGGATTTGCTGCTTGTTGAGTCGAGCAGATGGCTGTGTGCTGGAGCTGAGAAAGGAGGTAGCCAAAACCCCGCTCTGCCGAGCCTAGACCCCGGGAAGAAACGAGCAAACAGCTCCCCGACTTTGGGCTCCGTCCCTCCTGTTCAGCAGACCTGCAGATGTCTCCTTTCCCAGAGAGGGAGGTGAGGGTGTTGGGGGGAGCCGCTGAAGCATCACCCCTAAATCATTCCTGTTTTCAGGTCTCCTCCCTGCCTCCAAATCAGCCGGGATCTGCTGCACCTGCACAGTATCCAGATTTCTGAACCCAACATTCAAGACCCTCTCCAGTCGAGTCCAGTGTACGTTTCCAGTCCTGGCTTCCAGGACACCCCTCCCTGAACCCCTTGCTTCTGACAAGCTAGTTACGGGGCACACAGTAGGCGTGAAGAAATGCTGAATGGAAGAACATGCCTTCTGCTGGGCTAAATCTACAGTTCTTTTCGACATGCATTTCTTGAGTGTCAGGGAAAATGATGCTCTTGGGCTTCTTATATGCCAGGCCCTGGTGCGGGGGGTGGGGGGGGCACCATCTTGAGTTTCTGGGGATTTTTCTGGTTTGAGCCCTGGAAGTAGGTCCATGTCCCAGGAACCCTTCCCACCCAACGACAAAGGCAAATCAGGAAGGTTGGCCACCTTACGAGGGTAGGTCCCATATACTCTATCTTCACAGGGCTTCCAGCATGGTGGGGGGAGGATGGCATGAAGCAAATGATCGCACAAAGAAGTGAATAGTTACAAACCCTGGCAAGTGCAAAGGAGAAGCCAGCCCCGAGCTTTTTCCATGAGGAAAAGCCGCCTCTTCTCTCGACCCTGGAGAGGCTCCTGGTTGCTAGGAGAGAGAGGGACATACAGCTTATTTAATATAAAGCGGTGAGTGCAGTGAATCAGAAATCAACACTCCCTTTTCCCTGTCCACATGGCACTGTTTCTATTTTAATTGGGGTTTCAAGCATCGGAAACCCACTGCGGCGAACTAAATGGATATATATTGAAAGGGCGTAAGAAGGAAAAGCTGAGAAACCCAGCCCTTGGAAGGGAGAGAAACAATCGTGTCTTAGGTTGTTGAGAGAGTAGAAAATAATGCCAGAACAAAGGAACGTGCCTTGTTCCATTTTCTTTAGAAAAATGGACTCCAGCCATCCTCTGCCCTAGGGTTTCTCTGCCCAGTATTCTAATTCCAGGAAGAAAGAATCTGATAGCCAAGCTTGGGTCTCATGCCAGCCCCCTGGGGGTGGGGTCCCAAGATTAGAAATTCCACGAAAATTGTGTGCTGTGGGGCACTGGGGCAGGATGGTGGCTGCTGCGAGATGGAAGGGCTGGGATGCTGAGATGGCAGAAGGCCTCAGTTGTCCCTACTGCTCCTCCAGAAGTGGCCCGGAACCCCCACACCGTGGTCATCGCCTTTGAAGAACCTCGCTGCTTGCCTTCTGACCGGAATATTCTGTTACCGTGGGCAGCCTGGTGCTGGCAGCTGCCTTTCCGGACCCAAGTGTGTTGTCCAGCCGCCCTGACTGTGGTCACCTTGGAGCATGCGCCGTGCCCTCGGGCACGGCTAGTACAGCCCTCCTACAGACCGAAAACTCTGTAAGTGTGCTGAGTGCTCTCTAGACAGTTTTAACGAGCCGTGAGGATCCGGCCCTCCTTGCCCTGGCCTCACGCCACTCCAGACAAACCCAGCTCCTTCCTGTTTCTCAAACACGCCGCCTGCCTTTTTGCTATTCCTTCCGCCCAATGCCATTGCCTTGCTGAGCTCATGACTCAGTGATTCTCAACCAGGGGTGGGTTTGCCCTTCAGGGACATTTCGCAGCATCCCACTAGAGAGTGGCTACTACTGGCATTTCGTGGGTGGACCTGGAGATGCTGCTAAACAGCCTCCCACGCACAGGATAGGCTCCATAACCCTTATGAGGGCCACACGGCCATGGTGCTAAGGCTGAGAAACCCAAAGCACGACTGAACGCCCACACCTCCACTCAGAGGCCATCCCTGATCATCACCCGTTTCTTCCTCTCATGCCCACTATTGTATTTTCTTTGTGGCATTTTACCACCACCTTCAACAACTGTGTTTGTTTGTGCTTCTACTAGATGTTCAGCCCTGCGAGAGAGGACCCCTGCGGGCCATGTTCTCTGCTGGCTGCCCGGCACGGAGAGCCGCGCCTGGCACACTATGGGCTGCTCGGTACAAATGTGTCACATACAGGCTTAATAAAGGAGAGTGCCCTGGACACCTCACCTGTCAGAGGTCAGAACACTGAGCTGGGAGCTTGGATCCTCTCAGGCTGGCCTTCTTCGTGTGTCGGTAACCAGTTCCCCCAGCCAGTTCAATTCAGCGTCTGCTGTGTGTGGGCTGCACGGCCTTGGGCAAATTTCTTAAGCCTTCTGGACCTCCATTTCTGCATCTGTAAAGTGGGGCTGTTATTTTTAGCCCCTTCTTTGCAGAGATGTAACGGGGATGAGATAAATAAGTACACACACACACACACACACACACACACAAAACCACTTAAGAAAATGCCTGATTCTGAAGAACCTTGGCAAAGGTCATGTTGCATCACGATCACCATCACCACCAGGGTCTGGCTGCGGTAGGCGGTGAGGACGACAGAATGGGCTCCGGGGCGCTACCAGAGGGCAGGGGATTAATACAGCTTGCAGGTCCAAAGCTATCCCCATTTGGTTTCGCCGGTTCTTGCTCCATCCATGAAACAAACCGGATGAAGCCTTTATCCATCTCTTGTGTTGAGAAGGAGGCTAGCAGGGAACGTGGATTTAATGTAGCAGATGGTGCTGTCCTTAAATTATGAAACCAAAGAAGGAAATTAAAGGGGTCCCTTGCAACTGCTATGGGCCAGCAAGGGTAGAAGGTGGCAACGGGGACCGGGGACGGGGGTGCCTAAAGGAAGACAGAGGAGGTATTTTTATCAACCGGGCAATGGCTATTCTTGAGGGCAGCTAGGGTCCTAGAATAATATAATTTTATGGCCTAAAAACATTTTAGCTCACCCCCCTCCTTTTATTTAGGTAAATGAGGCCCAGAGAGGGAATGTGTCCTCCAAGCTCACACAGTGAGTGGCAGGGTAATCCATACTTTGACTCCTGAACAGGGTGATTTTACAGCTCGGGTGAAAGCCAGTGGTAAACTGTGTCCCAGGGCAGCCTGGCTGGGTCACCGCTGCATCCACGCACATCAGGATGTGTAGGGGCCAGAGCCCTGGAGCCCTTCTGTTTGGGTCTGCATTCTGACAAACAGGAACATGTTCATTACCTCCTGGAACCTCAGTTTCCTTGTCTGTCAAATGGGAATAATAATAGGTGCCACTTCACAGGGTCACTGTAAGAATCTGATGAATTACGATCATGTAAAATATTTAGCCTGGGGGGGGGTGGTACATAGTAAATGCTCAATACAATGTTAGTACCTATGGTGGTGCTGGAATGACTTCAGGTTCTAACCTTTCCCCTGGGCTGGGAGCACCTCAGGGGCAGTGCCTGTCTCTGGGACATCTTTTGTTCTTTATGTCCTGCAGAACAATGGATATCTATGGGGGGGGCGGGTGAGGGGCTCCCCAAGTGGTAGTGGCTGAGGACTGGCTCCCTTTGGAATGCCCATTTCTCAGTTGGCACCACCATGAAGCATCAGGGAGGGATGCCAGCAACGCATGTGACTCTTTGTCACTAGTTTAGACTTTAATCCTAACTGGCTAAAGCAGCCCTCCCGTCCAGCAGTGAACTGGCCTCGTGATGAGGGCTATATTTGTTTTCCCAGCCGTTCTCTGCAGTGCAACGCCTTTCCCCATCTATGCTTTGGGCTATTTGCATTTAAATTGGTTTCCTCTCATTATAGAAATCTCTTAGGTCAGCTGGAGTTTCCATTTTCCTCGGAATCAGTTTGGAAGCTCCATTTCTCGCTCAAGGGTCCCTTATGCCCTCCTCCCTCTCGCTGACAGTGAGATGTGGTCACGTATCCTCATCTCGTGGAGAACAGATAGCCTGAGAAAGTCACCCAAATCCCGTACAAGCCTGGCGTGTTTCTCACAGGAGAAGGTGGGGGGAGGGGGGAGGGGCAGGAGGATTCTGGCCCCTGCAGCTGTAGGAAGGAGACCCCGTGGTGGTTCAGCTTCAGGATCTAGGCCTTGTTTTCTCATTTATTACAAAAATCAACCAAGCACAGTGCTGGATGCTTGGAATGCAAATAACAGAACCTACTTGCTACCCTCCAGGAGTTCACTGTCTAGTAATGGAGAGAGAAAAGTAAAACAATTTTTAAAGATCGTAATATATGGGGCGTCTGGGTGGCTCAGTCAGTTAAATGTCTGACTCTTGATTTTGGCTCAGGTCATGATCTCACAGTTCATGAGTTCGGGCCCCGCTTCAGGCTCTGCGCTGACAGCATGGAGCCTGCCTGGGATTCTCTCTCTCCCTCTCTCTCTCTGCCCCTCCCCGCTTGTGCCCTCTCTCTCTCTCTCTTTTTCTCTCCAAATATATAAATAAACGTTAAAAAAAAAAGTTAAAAATCCTAATATAATCAAATGGTTGCTTTAATAAGGATCAGAATAGATTCCAGCCTAAGAGGCAGCTTTCGGTTAACACTCATCAAAAACCACAGTCACACACACACACACACACACACACACACACACTAACGCAAGCATGCACGCACCAGATCAAAACTGCTTACAGCACTTGCCCTGTTGCTGGGCATCTTTCTAAGCTATATATACAATTTACACGGCTATATTAATATATTCATTTTATTTTCATGACAAGCCCCAAAGGAAGTGCTATCATTATCATTGTTTTCCAGATGAGGAAACTGAGGCACAGTGATCAAATCTCATCCCAAGTCATCGCTAATAAACCGTAGAGCCAGACTGACCCCAGGCAGTGTGGCCCCAGAGACTGTGTGGTTCATCCTACACTATGACGGCCCCTGACAAAGGATGGTGCACTCTTGTTTTCTAGTCTAGAGCATCTTTCAAACTGGTCAAGGTCCACTACCCTGATTTTCTGATCTGTGCATACATTGTGAGACATGGTGCATGAAGACGTTTGAGATGCTTGCGGTGGGCCTGAAGGAAGACTAGGAATTTTTCAGATGGATAAAAGGAAGAACAGAGTATTTCATGAAGGACACGATTGTGTCAGTCCCTGAGTATGAACAGCATGGAGGTCTAAGTCAAGGGTACTCCAAGTTGTATGACAGGGCTCGGGTGTGAAGGAGGCCGAGCAGGTGGTGAGACATGGATGGGGCTGGGAGACTGACAAAGACCAGACCATGATAGGCCTTGAATGTCATGTGCATGGGCTCTGTCATGAGAATGGGGGAGGAGGGGTGCTATGGAGGGGCTGATCCGGGGAGGAACACAGCTTGTTAGAAAGATTAGCTCTAGAGTGAAGGCCTACCTGGATAGGGAGATCAGGAGAATGTATAATCAATAGATATAACCAGTAAGTATAATAATAATCGATTGGTTATACTCAGTAGGATTAGGTGGATTTTCCCTGCATAGAAGCACTCCTCTCACTCACCATGTGTGTCATGGAGCTGAAGCTACCCAGAGAAGACATCTTTATCTAATTTGCCCAGACACGTTACAGGCTAGTGGTGGCACTGGTGTGTGATAGTCAAGAGGGGTGGGGCCAGAGTTAAGCTAAGGCAGTGGCATTTGAGGAAGAGATGAGTGGAGAATGTATGATATAGTGGGGCAAATTAATCTGGTCTTGGCCATCAACCCAATGTTGGGGCTGAAGGAGAGCAGGAAGATGGGATGAGCTCAGGGTTTAGCTCAACCAGATTATTCTTTAATCTGGTGCTTCTGTAAAGGTCCAGACAGAAAATATTTTAGTCTTTGCAAGCCTCACGGTCTCTGTTGTAATTACTCAATTTCATCACTACAGTTCAAAAGCAGACATAGACCTTGTACGATAAATGAATGGGCACAGCTATGTTCCAATAAAACTTTAGTTACAAAAACAGGTTGGGGACCAGATTTAGCTTGAGGGGTGTCATTTGTTGATCCCTGCTCTGCATCATGAAGTGGTCCAAGTGTCAGACTGCCAACTAGGTGTGCCAGGTGGCTCTTAAGTGAGAGAAAGGCTCATAATGTGAGGCTCACACCTCATTGGGCAGATAGACCATACATCTCTCCTTGAGTGATGCCCACCTGACCACAAAAAGACTCATCTGAACTTGCAGAGGCGTCCGCCATCTAGTCCTAGGAGCCCAGCTCTGGCAAGATGGAGGCAGACATTTCACTCCAAATGCTCAGTCTCTGTTACAGGCACAGGAGAGGTCCTCGTTGGATATTTCCATCAGTTATAAGTGCAACACAACAGGAACCCTAACTAGTTCACCTTCATTGAACACTCACGCTACCCCAGGTACTGGGCTAAAGGCTTTACCTGAGTGATCTCATTGAATGCCCTAGTGAGGCAGTTATGTATTATTATGTGTCCCCATTTTCCAGATGAGGAGACTGAGGTATAAAGAGGTCCATTATCTCTGGGGTTTGGAATCAGGCATTCCAATCCCACACCCTGAGCCCTCAATCACTCTGTAAAACTCATGCTGCAGGCCCATGTGGATGCCCATGGTCACTATAGCAAACCTACGTGTTAGCCCCAAAACATAGGCTGATGCAGCTCAAACACTTGGGAATCTTTTGTCCTCTGGCCTGCGTGGCACTGTTATTGGAGACAAGCAGTCCAGAGGAGATGAACCCATCTGTTCCAAAAGCAAACCCAAACAAAATCGGCAGGCACACCGTTCTGGGATCTCTGTTATTGAGCCAAATGGTTGTCAGAAGTGGGTCCAGATGAAATGAATATATTGGCATCTGAAGGTATTGCATCTGAGGGAGGTAGGGATAGAAAATGAGAGGAGACATGGGGCACCTGAGTGGCTCAGTCGGTTTGGCGTCCTACTTCGATTCAGGTCATGAACTTGCAGTTCGTGAGTTCGAACCCTGCGTCGGGTTCTGTGCTTACAGCTACCTCAGAGCCTGGAGCCTGCTTCGGATTCTGTGTCTCCCTCTCTCTCTGCCCCTCCCCTGCTCACACTCTGTCTCTCCTTCAAAAATAAAAATAAGCATTAAAAAAATACATTTAAGAAAATGAGAGGAGCCAGCTAATCTCCATATGTTCACTCCGCAAACATCCACTGAGGGCTCTGTGGTCCGTGTCCCTGCCCTCCTGGAGGGCACTGGCTGGGAGAGAGCCAGGCAAA